CTGGCCTTTGTCCTGTTGAAAAGAGCATAAGCTACTAGGAGCCTCGAACCCTAGGGAAAGTAAAATCCATCAACAGGCTCCAAAATTAGGAGCGAGGGTCGGGATGGGTGTGGAAGGACAGTGAGGAGGGGTGACAAAGCAGGTCCAGTGGTCAGAATGGTGCAAGAGGACATCACCTCACCATCCCTTCCTCCTCTTACAAAGGGAGAAACTGCGGCTGTGGTGGGCAGTCACTGGCCAAGGCTCAGACGAGGGCAAGAAGGAAGTGTCCTGTTCAAGGTCAGTGGGGACACTGAGGTCCCGTGAACCTGGGAAGTGGAGGGACTCTGACTGGGCTGTGGGTGGAAGGAGCCAGGGACATGAGACTGTCACCTCGGACCAGGCATTGTCCACCTGCCCCCTCCACACTGGTCCCAGGACAGAGTCCCATGTCCTGGCCACATGCTCCCTGTCCCTGTGTGGCCCGTGGTACAGCAACACTGTGATAGGAGCCAAAGAAACCAACTTCCCTTTGGTGGTGAGGGCCCAGGAGGGTTCTTCACGGGCATCCTCCTGGCAGAAAAAAAAAAGTCAAAAGAAAATAGGAGAATGAGATCTCCCTGGCCTAGAGGCCACTCAAGGCCCCTGTCCACGCACTGCGGACAGCAGGGACAGTGGAGCAAGAGTGCTGCCGGCCAGGTGTTTCCAGCCGCCTCAGCTTCGCCTCTGCTCTCTGGCCTCCTCGCTGGCTCTGCCCCAGGCACCACTTGCAGCCTGGGCCCAAACTCCACTCGCACATCCATCCCATGGATTTCAGGACGAAATCATACTCCCTGCTGGATTTGGGTGGAATCGAGACTTCAGCCAGATGCTTGAAAGAGGAGCTGAGGAGGGGATGGAGCTCGCTCGAGTTTCAGCAGAGAAGCAAAAGCTAACCGCAGGATTCTGCTCTGCGAACAGCCCGCTGCTGAGAGCCAGGCCTGTGTTTTCCATCTTCCCTCCCTGGCCTTCGTGAGACAGAAGCCCCAGCGACCCTGCCAGTCAGACTCAGCTCTGGCCAGTGGCCATGGGGTTTCAGATTTTGAAAGAGGCCTTTTGCAAAATGTTCAGTTTCAAGCCCTCGTCCAATTGCCCACATCCTGTCCAAGCTTCTTGGGGGAGTGAGATTTATTTGAGAAGGGAATGAAATCCCCGTGTTCATGCCACTGAGTGAAAACATGCTCTGTCCCAGGCCATTTCAAGGGTTAGGGTTACATGTCTCCTAATGAGCCGCAGGCAGGGGATAGAGTGGGGCTGGCTGGGAGAGGAGACCAGCTCAGAGGTACTGCTCCTCAACGCCAGGAACCTGGGTCCTTGCCAAGGTCATGAATTGTTTCTAGTATGGCTTCACAGTCATGCTTTTGTGCATTCACTCATTCCTTCACTGCGCCAGCCTGCCTACTTCTCTCCCAGGCTCTGCACTAGACATGAGGGTCAAGGATCGAAGACCAAGCACCTACCTGGGGGCGCGAGGTCAGCTCGGGGTGGCAAGCAAGGAGATGTTCTGAACAGGACTCAAGTTCATGGGCCAGGAGCGGCTGTGAGTGTGGGTGAGAGAACAGGTGGTGGCAAGAGAGGCCGAGCCAGGAAGAGCTTGCAGAAGGAGGCCAAAGAGCTCGGACCTCATTCCTGGGTCCTGCAGGAGTACAGACACCTGGGTGTGCATTTCAGGGAGACTCCACCAGCCCAGAGGAGGGCAGATGGGGGTGACTTAGATGGCACAATGGTGTCGGTGGTGATGCTGGTGGCAGAGCATGAAATGAGAAAAAGGGACTCGTGCGTGGGCTCCCAGGAGACGCTGAAGGGAAGGGGGGGTTCTGGTGGGGAATGAGCTGCGGAGGCCATGCGAGGAGACACTGGGGGTGACGGCTGACACGACGCATGCCCGATGGCAGGCTGGCACAGAATGCTACAATACCATTGCAACAGAACTGTTTCTCTGGCAACCATCTGAAGAATCTCACAACGAAATGTCGTAGAGGGAAAAGAAAAGGTCAACTCATAATCTATTCTACCCTTAGTCTGTCATCTGGCAAAACATCTAAAACAAATACTTGAGAGCTAAACCAGGGAAGATGAAACACTTAGTAGAGCCTGCTTTCCTCTTCATCCGCACAGTGCTCGCGTGAAGTGCGTGTGTGGCTGCCCACAGCTGCTCCAGAAGAAAGGAGCAGAAACCCTTTACACTCATCTGTCTTCCTTCCAAGGATGTCCCAAGACCCAACCGGCCTAACTCCAGAAATCCAAAGCCAGTGGTGACTTCCAAGCACAGCTACACCCTTGTTCCTCTTTCAACTCCTCCTCAAAGGCATGGAAGCAGGGAATGGGACATGGTGGGGGTCAAGAAAAGCGCCCCTGGCCGGGTTCACAAAGCCCCCAGCACCTTAGATTCATAGCACTATCACCAGTGTAATTAAATAATTTTTACATGGACCTTTGTTTAAAATTTAATTCCTACCCAGGACTTAGAGCTCCCTGAGGGCAAAGTTGATGTCTGTCTTCTTGCTAGTTGCTACACAGACTCTAGATGTTAGCGAAGACCCAGCATTTCTGAAATAAATGAAAGATGGCCAAGCATCGCCTGATGTCCAGACCTTCAAGAAGATCCTGTTCTCAGGAAGTGCAGAGGCCTCTGGGAGAATTGGCAGCTCACAGTTAACCACGTAACATGGGATGAATGAGAATGGGTGGATTTACACAGAGGGATTGGGAGCTAAGAAAGAGGGCAAGGGGCTGTGAAAGTAGGAGAGATGGGTGGCTCTGGCTTAGGCTGAGAACAAGCAGGGCTGGGTAACATCGGGGGGGATCCAAAAACGAAAATTAACTGGAGGTCGCTGAACACTGTAAGGGCGTTGTGGTTCCCTCACCTATGGACTCCGGGGGTGAGCGGGAACCTAACTCCTCGGTCTGCACACTTTCCAGCTGAGTTGGAGATTCCAGTGGAAGTCCTCAGTACTGTATTGCTGTCCAGCTGCAGCAGGCAGAGGTGTAACCTGCCTCCAACTCCTTCTCAACCCTTCTCCAGAGGAGCTAGAACTTGCCCAAATGGAAAAGAGCCAAAAGTGACAGGAGTCCAAATGAGTCTTGGGTGTTCAAAATCAGCACAGGGGCATCTCTCTGACTTGTTCTGAAGAAGGAAGACTCGTGATTTGAGCCCAAATCATAGTTCGTGGAGGAGTCAGCTGCATCTCATATCAGATGGCTGAGCCCCAATCACCGGGCTAAAGGAAGGATGCAAGGTTGGGTCAGAAGCCAGCCAAGGCAGAGAGGAAGACGGATGGTCAAGACCGGGCACATGTGGTCCTGGACACACATCTGCTCTCAGCATGGGGAGGGCGGTAGAGAGGGATGAACAGTGGGTGGGTCTCGGGCGAGTGCCTCTTGGAGCCAGGGTGTCGCCAACTCACTTTTCTTGTCGTCTGCTCCTGGTAAAGCGACAAGTTATACTGCTTCTGTCAGGGTGCATGGCCTGATCAGGCCTGGCTCATCCAAACTGGCCTCCCTCCCAGAACTGATTTGAACTCTTCCGTCATCCAGAACAGGAGAATTTGGGAGCGTCTAAATAAGTGCAGATGAAATCATCAGATATAATAGCTACTTCGGGTAGAGATAGAGAAGGGTGACCTGTACCATTTCCCAGGTGCAATGACATGTACACGACAAGGATCAGGTCATCTAAGGGCCTCAACGATAAGCTTCTGTTAAAAAAGGCACAAGCCCATCAGATGGGCTTCCTCTGGCAGATGCTTAACCTGAAGTCCCCCAACAGGAGATGGGGGCAGGGGTCAGTTTGCTTGGAAAAGCAAGGACTGGGCCCACTCACTGGAGGTACATAAAAAAGACAGCGCTATTTTTTATCTGTCTTGGCAGAGGCAAAGGCAGCTTTCAGGAAGACCCAGGGCTTCCATTCCTGCATGCCAAGCCAGCACTGCCCAAGGACGGGCCACGGGCCAGGGCAGTCTGGACAGCCACTATTCCGTCTCATCGCCAGGCACAGGAAGCTGGACTCAAGCATGAATCTGGATTCCAAGGGAGGATGCTACAGACCATCTGACACACACATGCTTCTCCAAAGAACAGCTCCCAGGCCACGCAGGTCCCACCAAAGCACTTGTATTTTTAGTTACTTGCTCATTCATTCAGCAATAATTTACTGGGCGCCTACCAGGCTCAGAGCTGAGCAGGAGCTAGGGAGACAGATAATTTGACCCAGTTCCCGGTCCTCAAGGCACTTCAGCTCAGCGATGACAGGAATACAAAGGTCCAGAGTGGAGTAGGCGGGTGCTGGGCTGGGAGTGGCTGCGTTCTTTGTAATATTGGGATGGAGTGGAGGTGCAGGAAGCTCACGCACTACTGCCTTGCACGTGACCAGTGTACTCGCTCACCCATTTACTGAGTCACACTTCCACTCACGCATTCACACTACAGAGCACTTATGCTTGGTCACACACACACTGACTCATGCACTCCCCACTCCGTTCTCCCTTCCTGAATTGTAATGCATTCATTCATCCATCTACATGCCTACTCCTTTCATTCATTGCTGGATTTATGTCCTCAGTGGATGTAGTTAGCTCTTCCTCTTCCACTTATGTGTGCCTTCATTCACTTACTCATCCTTGACTTAGTCGCTCATTCATTCATTTGACATACATGGACTCATTCCCTCATCGATAGACTCATACATGGGCATTCCTTTATTTCCACTCCACACTCATTTTTCATTTCCTGACCCACTGATCTATTGGTCTCTCATTCATTCACTCAGGGACTCATCAGTCCTCATCACTCAGTGTCGACCTCTTTCTGTACACATGACCTCATCCGCTCCCTAACTCACCATGCCGTCATTCACTTCTTGATTTGGTCACTGGTGAACTCATGGATTTGCTCATTTGCATCACTCCTCACACTCCCATTACCACATTTATTCATTCCTTTGTTTCTCAAAGACTCATGCATTCCTTAATTGACTACTTCACTCATTTAGTCTTCTTTTATTCTTCTACTCATTCTACAAATGTTATTGAGTGTGCTCTATGTATGGGGCACAAAGGGCATGGTAGTGATTCAGGTCAGCCTAGTGCTTTTGTTATTGGCTCAAGATTCATCTCTTCCACAAAGCATCCGGAACTTAAAACTCAGGCAATAGGGCTCTTTCTGCACTTCTGGAAAGCACATCCACAATACTGAATTGTTGGCTTTGTAAGCAGGTCTCTGTCTTATCCGCTAGAGCTACTTGAAGACAGGATTAGATGCATACGTGAACTCCATGCCTGACACAGGATCTGACAAGGATTCAAGACAATAGCTGTTGAGCTGAAATTAATCCTGTAAAATCAGTTATTTTAGCATTCTCTCTGATACCAAGTGCCAGAAAATTTTTTTAAAAATTTAAAATAGGATACAAAAGCCTCTTACCTGCAAATAAATAAGCTCAGTACAACTAGTGTCTGAGACAGAAAAATAATAATCCATGTAATAATCCATGAAAATACCAAGCAAAAAATTTCATACTAGCATGGTACTCTATACTATCTCCTATTAAAACAAGGATACAAAACATTAAGTGTTTCTTTCACGGTGGGCTGGGGATTTAGCTCAGTGGTTCCACCACCTGCCTTGCAAGCGCAGGGTCCTGAGTTCGATTGCCTGTACAAAAAAAAAAAAAGGTTCTTTCACAGACGTCAGTGGTGTGGAACTAATAATTATAATTCTTGCTTTAAAACGCATTTGAATCTCCGGTCTATGATTTGACCACTTCTAATTTACTTTTTTTTTTTTTTTGGTACCGGGAATTGGTAATTTACTTTTTTTAGATTGATTTACTAAATAATGATAATACAAGACAATGAATTTTTAACATGTGTTTCTGACTTCTTTATATACAGAGGTAACAGATTAAATCTTTTTGGTTAAATAGATTTCAAAGAAGCAAAATTAAGTTGATCATTAGTCTTACTTCGTGAAAAATTTTATTATTAGAATAATCTGTCACTGAATTTTCTCTACACATGAACCTTTCTTTGTTTATTAAATTAATCATTTTCAAAAGCAAAGTCAACATTGGTGTAGCTTTCCTCTACACCAATGACAGACTCACTGAGAGAGAAATAGGGCAAATAATTCCTTTCACAATAGCATCCAAAAAACTGAAATACCTAGG